CCTCCACTGACACTGAATCCTTACGTCCTATTCTAGCTAAACATCCATAATATTTAATAACAAACTTTTCTAATCCTCCTTTCCAAATCGCTGTTGGCAGTTTTCATCTAGTTTCCTTATATTATACTCATACATATACATCATATGCATATACATATACATATACATACATACATACATACATACATACATACATACATACATATAGGTTGTCATCATTATCCCTCCTTTATTTGACTATACCCTGTATCATAACATTTCCCCCCTATGGATTGATCCGTATTAAAGATGGCCCATCTCTGCTTCCTTATCATTTGCTCTGTGCTGCTGGCTTCTGTCTGGGCTTCTGGTCCATTGTGTGGTCTGGTGTGTACCTTGATATTCAGGTTGGTTTGATCCTGCGGGGTCTTTATTTCCGTGACCCAACAAAAGCACGCACGACAAAACCTCATCGCTAAAACCGCGACGTCGTCAACGCGCCGACAACAGCGCGTCAACAACAGCGTGTCGACAGAAGGGCGATTTACAACAGCGCGTCGACAGAAGGGCGATTTAAGTTAAGATAAGGGTTAGGGTTAGGTTTAGGGTTAGCGTTAGGGTTAGCGTTAGGTTTAGGGTCAGGGTTAGGTTTAGGTTTACAGCGCGCTTCTGTCGCCGTGCTGTTGTCGGCGCGATTCAGCGCTCATTCGTCAGCGCGGTTTAGAACTCGCGGTTTTGTCACCGCGGTTTAGTCGGGCGCGGTTTTGTCGTTCGCCCTTTTGTCAGTGAACCCTTTATTTCGAATAAAAGAATACCGTTAGATAGGGATAAACCTTTGTGAGGTTTTCCCCCCCATAATATAATCAAAGAGTCAGTAGTCCTTTTCCCAAAAAAAAAAAAACCCCAACCCAAGGGTTCAATTATATAAGGAAAGTAATTTTCCTGTTTACACACTTGCAACAAGCTGCGTTAGATTTTGCGTCGCCTTCTTCTGTCACAAATTTTGGCTTGGGGAGCAGTTTTGTGTTTGCACAAAGAAAGCCAGCAACTCCTTCTCTATATTTTAGATTTGGAAGCCGGGTATTTGGGAAAACGTTTGCAAAAATTGTTGATGGTTCTAAGCAGCTTTGATTCCAATAAAGCTTCAGTTGCTCCTAACCACTGCTGTGGCAGATCCAATGCAGATCTCATCAGACTCCCTGAGTTTGGATATCCACAAATCGTTGGCCACGACCAAGCCTGCTTCCTAAGCCCCAGTGATTTGAGACATACAAAACAACTCTCAAAGTCGACACATCTTAATTTACCAGTATGTCCGAACCTGGTCTAAACATTCCATCAGAAACAATTAAATTCAGGTTTGTTTAATCAGAATTGTGGGCCATGAAAATCGAAAATAAATCGAAAATCGACTTCCCAACCGCTCACTTCAAGATCGCCTGTCTCCATGACGGAGTTTCTTGGGTTACAACAAGCCATGGTTTTGTTCCTAAGCACTCCATAGCGTGCCAGACGAGAAACGCTGAATGTGCCTGAATAAGTATAACCAGGATAACAATAGAGTTAGAAGGGACCTTGGAGGTCTTCTAGTCCATGGTGGGTTTCCTTTTAAAGTTGTTCTGCTTTAGGATGATATAAATGCATCCCTGTAACAATTCACCTCTTAGGAGGGTAACGCTAACACTGGACAGTGGCTCAGTGGCTAAGACGCTGTGCTTGTCGATCAGAAAGGTCGTCAGTTCAGCGGTTCAAATCCCTAGTGCCACGTAATGGAGCGAGCTGTTATTTGTCCCAGCTTCTGCCAACCTAGCAGTTCGAAAGCAGGTAAAAAATGCAAGTAGAAAAATAGGAACCACCTTTGGTGGGAAGGTAGCAGCGTTCTGTGCGCCTTCGGTGTTGAGTCATGCCGGCCACATGACCACGGAGACGTCTTCGGACAGCGCTGGCTCTTCGGCTTTGAAACGGAGATGAGCACCGCCCCCTAGAGTCAGGAACGACTAGCACATATGTGCGGGGGAAGCTTTACCTGTCCGTCCTTCCTTCCTTCCTT